GTCTGTACTAGAGAAAGTGAAACCAGGCTGCTCTATGGAGGCAAGGGTTCTGAGGCTTTGTTTGACATATTTTGGGCTTGTTCCAAAGAGGAACCAGCCCTTGGAGAGGACTATCATGCTTGGAAGGGTAGAGAGGAAGATTCTTGATGATATGGATTCACTCAGTGACTGGGATAATCTTGGTAGGTGTATCTGACAATGAAATTGTCTCAAGATAGAGCAGGGTTCAGAGCTGTTGTACAGAGAGGCCCAAAGAGTCACAAGTGTTGATGGTACATAACAACAACAACAACAGCAACAGTGGTCTGGTGGCCTAGTGATAAGAAGCTGAACTGCAATCCTGAAGGAATGAGGTTCAAATCTACCACATGCTCCAGGGGAGAAAGATGGGCAGTCTCCTCCTGTGCAATTAACTAACTGCCTTTGAAAATCTGCTGGAGGGTGAGCTATGGGTAGGCTCCAACTCGAAGGTAGACAACAACACAGGCATCTGCCAGTCCCATTCCATCTTGGGGCCTCATTCTTGATGATGAGATGAGGCTCAGGAAGGGGTAAGGGTAAGCAAATGGGTGAGGTTGTCTTTGTTGTACACGTTGTTGTTGTAATGTGCCATCGAGTCGCTTGCGACTCATAGCAACCCTATGAACAACAGCCCTAAACTCTGCTCTGTTCTGTGCCAATTGCACTGTCTCTGATATTCCAATTATCCCAGTCACTGAATCAATCCACCTCATAGAGGGCCTTCCTCTCCTGCGCTGTCCCTCCACCCTCCCAAGCATGATGTCCCTCTCCAAGGACCGGTCTCTCCTCACAACATGTCCAAAGTATGTTAGATGGAGCCTCAGAATCCTTGCCTCCAAGGAGCCACCCGGTTTAACCCTTTCCAGGACAAATCTGTTTGTTTTCCTAGCAGTCCATGGTATTCTCAATACTCTTCTTCAGCACCACAGCTCAAAGGCATCAATTCTCCTTCTATCCTCCTTGGTCATTGTCCAACTCTCTGATGCATAACAAGTGATTGCGAAGACCATGGCCTGTATCAGATGCACCTTAGTCTCCAGAGAGACACCATTGCTCTTCAGTACTTTGGAGAGGTCCCTAAGAGCAGAATTTCCCATGACAATGCACCTTTTAATTTCCTGGCTACTGCTGCCAAGAGTGTTGACTGTGGAGCCAAGCAAACTAATGCTGTGTACAATCTCAATCTCTTCACCACCCATCCTGATACTGCCAATTGGTCCAGTGGTGAGAATCTTTGTCTTCTTGACATTGAGCCTCAATCCATCCTCTTCAGTTTCAGCAAGCAGGGTTGTGTGATCTGCATAATGCAGATTGTTGATAAATCGTCCACCAATCTTGACCCCACAATTCTCCTCATAGAGCCCAGCCTCCCGGATAATCTGTTCTGCATTTCGGTTGAAAAGGTATGGAGATAGGATGCATCCCTGGCATACAACCTTCCCAATTTTGAACCATGCAGTGTTACCTTGCTCTGTTTTGACGACTGCCTCCTGGTCCAAGTATAGGTTTTGCATTAGCACGATCAAGTGTTTTGGGATTCCCATTCTTCTCAGAATCAGCCACAGTTTGTTATGATCCACACAGACAAATGCCTTTGTATAGTCAATGAAACACAGATATACATTCCTCTGGTATTCTCTGCTTTCAGCTAAGATCCATCTAACATCAGCTACAATATCCCTAGTACCACGACCCCTTCTAAACCCAGCCTGGACTTCTGGTAGTTCTCTGCTGATGTGCTGTTCCAGTCGTTTTTGGATAATCTTCAGTAAAATCTTGCTTGCATGTGAAATCAATGAGATTGTTCTATAGTTTCCACACTCTGTTGAGTCACCTTTCTTTGGGATAGGAACAAATATAGATATCTTCCAGTTAGTTGGCCAAATGGTTGTTCTCCAGATTTCTTGGCACAACTTGGTGAGCACGTCCAGTAATGTACACATTACTTGGTAAGAAAAATGCAGAGTAATTATTGTTTATCACACCACGGAAAATGTATGAAGTAAAATGTCAAGTGCCTAGTTTTAAATCAAAGTATAGTATTTGTTGTTGCTGTGTACCATCAAATTAAAACTGAGATAACTGACCCTCTGGAAGATTTTAAGAAGCAGTTAATCACACAGGAGGAGATTCTTCCATGGAGTAGCTGATGGATTCAAACTACATGCCTCCAGGATTGCAGTGCAGCTTCTTGTCACCAGGACACCAAAGCTCCCTGAGTACGATACTTGTTGTTAGTATTGTTATGGTCAATCAAGTCACTTGTAACTCATAATGACCTGTCCTGAACCACAGCCTTAAACCCTGCTCTATCCTGTGCCAATCTTATTTGTCTCTGACACACCTACCCTCATTACACCAGTCACTGAATCAATCTATCTCATCAAGAGTCTTCCATTCTTGTGCTGTACCTCCACCCTTCCTAGCATGATATCCCTCTCCAAGGACTAGTTTCTTCTGGTAACATGCCCAAAGTATGTCAGACAAAGCCTCAGAATTCTTGCCTCTAAGGAGCAGCCTGGTTTCATCCTCTCTAGGGTGAACCTATTTGTTTTCCTAGCAGCCCATGGTATGTATATTCAATAATATTCTCCAGCACCACAGCTCATCGGCATCAATTCTCTTTCTATTATCCTTAGTAATTGTCCAGCTTTATTTGCAAAGACTATGGCCTGGATCAGGAGCACCATGTTCTACAGACTGACATTGTGGCTCTTCAGTACTCTGGAGAGGTCTTTGACAGCAGATTTTCCCAGTGCAATTAGTTTCTTGGTTTCCAGACTGCTGGTACCAACACAATATTTTTGGTAGTATGATCCTGTCACTCTCAAATGGCCTAGGCATAAAACCATGGCCTAGGAAAAGAACTTCTGCCACAACCTTTGTGATATGTGTTATCTACAATTCCACTTTCCAGATGACAAAAGGATCCTCTTTCTCAGTATAATATTCTTTCAAGGATTTATTCATTGATGCACCAATGTCACCTTCAGTAAGACAATGCTAAGTGACAGAGATGCAAAAATGAGTAACATAGTCTCTGCCCTTAAGAATTTGGTTCAAAAAGCATTCATTGAGTGCTTACTATATATTAATAACTGCAAAGTGCTAGTATATTGACATACATATGGATTTCAGGGAAAGCTTTCAAGAGATGAGGCTAGAGTTCAGTCTTAAGGAACTGGCAGGAATTTGCCTGAGGAAAAGGAGGGGAAGAAAATATCTAGGGAATAGAAATGGGCTGGAGCATGTCAGAAATGTTGTGGATGACACAGGATAGGATAGGATAGGATAGGATAGGATAGGATAGGTTTCAATCTGTTGTTCATAGGGTCATTATGAGTTGTACTCAACTTGAAGGTACCTAACAACCTCAACAATAATGGTCAGAGTATGTTGGGAAAGTGGGAGCCAGATCGTAGCATTATTTGTAGACCAAGCTAAGTAGTCTATTATGGAGAGAACAGAGAACCATTAGAGGTTTTTCAAACAAGAGTGACATGATCAGATATTTTTTTGTTGTTAGGTTCACCCAGCAGTAGATTAACCACCAGACTAGAGGGAAGCTGGGACCAAAGATAGAGAATTGGGAGGTTGTTGTCATAATTGTGGTGAGAAATGCATAGAACATAAATATCAGTAATAGAGATAATGCAAAGCAGAGCTTCTACTCAAGAAATAGAACAAACAGAAATGATATAACGTTGGACCTGAAGTGTGAAAGCCAGAGTCCAGCATAACCTCCCAGCTTCCTCCCCTGGGTTAGGCAGTCTTTGGATAGTGAAATGGATATTGATCAACGTAGGACACACAGCAGAAGCAGGATACTGATTTCCCTTCCCCCCTTCTTAAAGACTAGTGAAGATGATTTGTTAAGTTTTAAATGCTGAGTATAGACCTGAAGGGAATCCAAGAAGAGGTGCATGAGACAGTTGGCTAACTTACCTTCTACCTTTTAGCTTAAAAAAAATCTGGAATAGACCTCACTATTTCACAAAGTTGTCTTTCTAGTACCTTCACTGCAAAAGAAACACGGCATGCCGATTTCATGAAATGACATTTTCCTATACCAAAAAAAGTCAACATTGCAAAAGTAGTAGTTGACAGTTAATATAACATTTTCTACCAAGTGCCAAATTGACATTGCAGATGAATGTAATTTTTTAGTAAGTTACATGCAAGGTGTCCTTCTACATTTGAAGACAGCAGTGTACCTGATCTAGGAATTCCTTTGAGAAGGTGTGATGGGCGATGGCTGAGAAATGCGCCCTCCAGTGGCTGAGAAATTAAAGGGGGGGGGGGTCTAGCACCCTTTTTTACAACCAAACAAAGCCCTGTGAAGATAATGATGAAGATCAGAAAAAGGCCACAATGCTCACACCGCTCAACATCAAAATCAAGCAAACATTCCCAGGGACCTGGATCCCTTACCTGTCACGTCAGCCGAAGAAAAAATTTCACTTTCGGCTACAAAACAAACAACAACCAAACCTACCCTAGATTCGACAGCTTGCAGTATATCCTGCTCGGTGACAATTATAAACCTTGCAAGCCAAAACACGACTATCTGGATCCCCTCCTACCCGCTGGGCCGGGCTTCGACCACGTGGGTGGTTGGGTTTAGCAGGAGCTGCCCCAAGAAAGGAGGGAGAGGAGGTGTGTCCCTGTGTGGGAGGCGGGGCTAAATCACTGGGCGGGGCTTGGGCGGACCCTTTCGGCGCACCTCCTCTTGGTTGCTCTTCTTTGCCTTCGCCCTTCGAGCCGCCACGTAATGCCACGTCCTCGCGCATGCGTATCGTGGCTGGTAGTCGCGGCTGTTTCCGGGCTAGGGGGTTGGAGCGGCCGCCGCGTAGGACGCGGTGGTGGCCGCGGCCGGGGTGATCCGAGTGCAGTTTTGGGGGGCTAGTTCTTGCAGAGGGCGGGGTAATTTGTCTTTTCTTTTCCGAACGGGCCGGTAGAGCCGTTGGCTGAGGGGCAAGATGAATTTCCTCCGCGGAGTAATGGGAGGTCAGAGTGCCGGACCCCAGCACACTGAAGCCGAGACGGTGAGAGGAACGGGGGTCCGGGACTTGGGAAGGTCCGGGTAGGGACTGGGGTGGAGAATTCGGGGATCTAAGGGCTCTTCCTTTTTTTGGGTTGAGGTCCACTCGTCGTCTCCCTCCCCCTTTGCCTCCTTTCCTTTCCTGAAAGCGCGGAGTTTCCCAGGAAGACCCCCAGTATAGTCCCCACCACGGCGGCTCGGCCGCGTTGACAGCAGCCGCGCCTCGGAGCCCTGCAGGCCCAATGAGGAGGGTGTCCACGGAGGAGACCGCCCGGGAAGGGACGGGTCCTGGACTGAGGTTTCCTGACCTCTCTCTCACACACACCGGGCTCCTCCCCCTTTCCTTTGGTTCGCGTCTGCACCGGCCATGGGGGGACTCGAAACCCAGCTCCCTTCTTCGAGTCTGGAATCGAGGAGCTGGGGACGACTGCAAGGTTTAAAGCCCAGCTTTTGACAGGAGCATGTGCCCAAGATGAAAACGCTAGTTTGGAGTACAAAGCCGTTTACATCTCTCCATTCAACTGGAAAGAAGGTTCCTTCAGGTGATACAAACCCAAATCTCGCTTTCGGAGTTCACCTAAAGAGATGCTACTTGGTAAAGATCTCGTATGGATGTTGTAGAGAATCTTTCGCGCTCAAACTGCCTTGGGAACACATCTCTTTTCCTTTCCACTTGAGCCAGTCCGAAGACACTCGTGGATAGCATGATTTGCAGCGTCATTTTTAAGAAATAAGTCACAGAAAACAGTATTTGATAGTTGCTTGTATATTTGAACCAAACGTTTAATTTTGAGTAATTGTCGGTTTGCAGAAAAGTGGCATATTGGATACTTAACTTGAGGTTGCATTCATAAACATAACTTTATTACAGGCATCCTGCATTATGTCTGAACCCACTGCAGTTATGTGGCTCCTGCTAATGGTGATCTTCCATGGGTTTCTGAGGCTGTAAAAACTGGAGGGAAGGAGACTGCACGTCTTTCTCTTGGTGAATTTGAACGCCCAGACTTTGGAATAGCAGCACAACTCTACACCAGCAGTGGTTCTTGGGGGGTTAATAGTAGCCTTCATTTGTCAGGTTCTTACCTTGAACTAAGTAGATAAAATGAACTCTGCCAGCAAGACAGGTGAAGACATCCTCATTTTACAAATAAATGAAGCTTAGAGAGGTTAGTCACTCTGCTAGTGATAGAGCGAGCTAGGATTCAGCAGTGTTTGCTTTATTTTAATGTGATGCCCATATTTTAATACTTAGATGGAAAATTTGGGAATTTCTGTATAGCTGAAACTTAATGACACAAGTCTGAGCTAGAACTGTTTAAAGCAGAATCTGTAAATCAAATCTCACACACACAGAGCCATAGTTGTGGCCTACTTTTTCAACTCCCTCCCCCCCAAATTTATTTTATCTGTCTGGCATGTGTGTTTCAGAACACATGCTCCCCTAAGTTTTAGAGTGTGACTTGTTTTGGAGTTAGACCTTCATTTGAATCCTGGCCTCGCACTCTCTGATTGTACTGTACAGGCAAGAGATAGCTAATAGCCTATAGGAAACATGCCTCCAAGTTATTAAGAGAATTAAGTGAAATAACTAGAGGCTGGCACCTTGTAGGTGCTCACCAGAAAGTCATTTTTATTACATCTACACCTACGTTAAGGGAAGAGTGACGGAACTTTGGTGGCGTAGTCTGTACATGTTGCTACTACCAAAAGGGCCTGCTTTGTTAGGTAGTTTGAATGCACTAGCCAGTCCAAGGGAGAAACGTGGGTAGTTTTACTCCTGTTGAGTTTTACAGCCTTGGAAATTTGACAGAGGGTTTAAACAGGCAGAATTGATTGGAGTGAGTGAGGGTAAGATCACCTTGGTTTTTGCTTTCACTGTTGATAGTCATCCTTGTCATTGACCTATGTGGAAAAGATGCAGAATCCACAGCGCGTACAATTTTTGAAGCTGAAAGGGCCCTTACAGATAATTTCATTTCACATCTTTATTTTACAGGTTAGGAAACTCAGTCAATCCTCAAGAAGTTTGCACAGTAAATGAGAATTAGGACTAGAACACTTTGTTCTTACCATAGTGAATGTGACAGCATAGTTTTTAATATGGTTTCAAAATGAAGCAAATGTATTACTTGTATATATAAACTAAAAGGAAAGTCAGGGTGCCTTATCTTACCTAACTCTTAAGCATGTAGACTCAAAATTAGGAAACTGATCTTGAAGTATGAATAAAATTAACTTTACTACCTCATTCCTTAAAGAAGTATAGTAGGCATAGGGTTCGTAAGTTACTGATTTAGAAGTATTTCTAGAATATCAAAGACACCCTGGTGGAGCAGTAGGTTAAGCACTGGGCTGCTGAGTAAAAATTTAGTGGTTCTGGTCCTTCTATGGGAGATGAGGCAGTTTGCGCCTGCAAAGATTCATAGCTCAGAAGAAGCTCTCCAAGGCTCTTCTACTTTGTCCTGATTGGTCACTATGAGTCACAATCCACTTAATGGCATTAACTGTAGAGTAGCAGTAGAATATGTACCACATTTGACTTTTTTTTTTAACTTTTGAGTTTTAGTTTTAAAATCAGAAATTAAACACAAACACAGTTCTAAAATAAATTGATGTATACTGAAAAAAAAAACCCTCACATTGATGCTAAGCATTGATAATTAATGCTTAATTAAGGGTTTTATTGCACAGCACACATTACACAGGGAGCTCTGGGGGCTTCTTGTTGTTCGGTGCCATAAAGTTGAATATGACACATAGTGACCCTGTGAACATATTTGACTTTCGATGATTTGATCTAGCCTGAGTATTTGAGTTATCAGCTTGGAACCTCTAACTTCAATGTTATAATTTAGTATTTTTCCCCCTAATTTTATAAAATTATGTTGTTTTCATTTTGGCTTTCTATCTTTCTCTTACGTTTGTTTGTATGAATTCAAATCTTATCACAACTACCTTTCCTAATTTGAGGCATCTTTCTCCTACCAGAGAGCTCTGTGGCCTAGTGGGTAAAGAATTGGCCTTGCCAGCTCAAAGCAGGCTATCCTAATATATCAACTGCTTCTTAGTTGAAAGATGAGCAGTCTCCTTCTGTGTGATTTTCAGCTTCTGAAAATCTGAGGATCAGTTAAGGATCAGTTCTGACTCAACGACAGTGAGTTAAACCCTACTAGACTACAGCTAATTTTTTTTTCTCTAAGATTTTTTTGCTTTTTTTTACTGAGTTAGGCGTTCTGCCAATTCCTACCATTTATGTGGTATTAGAGAAGAATGTTGAATATCCGGTGGACTACCAAAAGAACAAATAGATATGTCTTGGAAAAGTGCAGCCACAATGCTACTTGAAGACAAAGATGGGGAAACTTCATATCACACTTTGGGCCTATTGCTAGGAGAAACCATTCCTTGCAAGGGGATGTCATGGTTGTAATGGTGGAGGGTCAGAGAATAAGAAGACCCTTAATGGGATGGATAGACATCGTGACCGCAGCAGTGGGCTCAAGTGTGTCAGCTGATGAGGATGGCACAAGATAGGACAGGGATCAAGTCTGTTGTTTGTAGGGTCGTTATGTGTTGTACTTTATGACACCTAACAATAGCAGCAACATTCTTTATGTTAAGAGATGAAAGACTAAACATCTCTAGGTCAGAGTTAATTCAGATTTTAGTTTTTGTTATGCCATTGTAATAGATGCAAAGTACTTGGTAAATAAATCCCCATAGCAGCTTACAAATTGCTTGCTATAAAAATATTTCTTAAAAATAGAGGTCATAGTTTATAATGAGTGCAATTCATCATGTCAGAATTTTTACTATGTCTGCTTTGATTACTTTCATACTTTTTTCTTAAATGTCCTCTAAATGTGTGAGAGATTTATTACTTAGTAGTATAACTCTCCAGTAACTAGCTTTTCCTACCTTTGTTGTTGTTGTTTTTAGGTGTCATTGAGTTGAGTCATATCGACCCTGTGCTGTCCTGTGCCATCCTCACACTTCCTGACATACAAGAGCCCATTACAGTAGTCATGGTGCCAGTCCACCTGGTTGAGGGTCTTCTCCTTCACTGACCCTCCATCTTTCCGAGTATCATGTCCCTCTCCAAAGAATAGCCCCTCCTAGCAATATGCTGAAAGTATGTGAGGTGAAGCCTCATCATTCTTGCCTTCAAAGAGCACTCCGACTGCACCCGCTCCAAGACATAGCTGTTTGTTCTTTTAGTCATCCATGGGATTTCAGTGCTCTTCTCCAACACCACAGCTCGAAGGTGTCAATTCTTCTTCTGTCATCCTTATTCATTGTCCAGTTCTCAGATGCATAGCAAGTGATCAGAAAGACTATGGCCTGAATCAGATGCACCATAAGGTCTACCTTAACCAAAGTTAAAAATAACTCTGGACTGCTGTTAATGGTGATGAGCAAGTAAAGTGTTAGTTGCCACTATGGTCAGTAATACTATTAAATAATGGATACTCTTAAGTCTAGAATTTTCATCCATATTAAACTTTCATATTTTAGAGACAAGTACTTTTTAATGTGATTTCTCTTATTAAGGTAAAGATAATGATGTCCAATGATTGAAGCCCCCCTTTACCTTTTGCTGGGTGAAAATAAATACTATTATAGTAAAAAAAATCACTATGTTCACATGGTTAAATTTTTATCTACTTCCATTTAGTACCTTTTTAAAAAACTATTGTTTCTTTAAATAAACCCCAAAGTGTTAACTAGTATGGAAGTGTATTCTGTTATCAGATTGGTCCCGAGGACATAAAAGTTGTTAAAAGTCCAGAAAAAGAATGCAAGATTATTATGCTCCTTTTAGATGCAACTTTAATCAGCTGACTCTGACAGCAAAAGGGCTGGTAATATGGACAACAGCTGTACTTTCTTTTAATAAAAATTGTTATTAAGGAATATGGGCTTAATTTAGCCATAGCTTCAGTTTGGTCAAACACATCTTACACTAGGATAGTATAAATATAGTCTGAAATTCCTTTTTGG